GAATTGCTTAAGTCCAGATACCTTGTCTTATTTAAGCCTACACCCCATAGCCCTTGTAGTACCTGGTATATAGAGATGCTCAATGAAAAATTGCAGAATTAAAAGATTAATGGGCTGGCATTAAAATGCTACAGAACAGGGAATGATACTTGGGCTCTGGGGTAGGAAGAAGACATCATTGTTTTCCATTTTTAGGCGGACATTTTGCCCTGTACATGCATTAAAAAAATAGTAAAACACCTAGTTTAATAAAAGGGAGTTAGCCAGTAGTCCGCTCTATTAATAAAATAAATATGATTTTTCTGAATGGGAATGAAAGCTCATGAATTCATTGAGAATTTTTTAAATTTCTGTTTTATTCATTTCCGTACACTATATTTCTATACCATGTACATTTAACAGCAATCTTACATGCAATCAAGACTCTGATTTAGAGTGGTCATAAAGAATTTTAAAATTCCCTCAAGAAATAAACCCTTAAAATTCCCTCAAGAAATAAATGGTTAAGCTTTGCATTATATGGTATTTGTATTTGTCTCGTACCCTGTTCATATTGAAAGACTTCTTAAAAGCCCTTTAGCACTGACTTTCCCAAGAAGCTATAAATCTTGAAAATGCAAACTCACACAACATTTGGCCTACAGTTTTATGAGATTCATGTTCCTCTAGCCCAGTGGTTCTCAACCTTCCTAATGCCGTGACCCCTTAATACAGTTCCTCATGTTGTGGTGACCCCCAACCATAAAATTATTTTGTTGCTACTCTATAACTGTAATTTTGCTACTGTTATGAATCGTAATGTAAATATCTTTTTGTTTTCTGATGGTCTTAGGCGACCCCTGTGAAAGGGTCGTTCGACCCCCAAAGGGGTCGCGACCCACAAGTTGAGAACCTCTGCTCTAGCCAGTCCATGGATTCCTGGTTCAGAATCCCCCCTTAGGAAAGTACACCCAGGGAACCTATAATCACTGCCATAATATAATGACCCCTTTGAAAGGAAAAGTACAGAATATATCAAAATGTTACTTAAATTGTATAGACGTGAAACTAGATATAAAACCTTTATGTTTTTGACTCATTTACAATTATAAACCAAGTCTGCAAATTAAATACAAAGACAATTACAAAACCAAGAAAATTCAAATTAATACAATTATTCAGTATGACAGATATTTAGGTTTCACAGTAGAAAAAAATAGACTTAAGTCTGATTCCATTTTAAATCTGTTTCTGTATTTTAACTTCAGCGACACTAAAAGCTGCAAGTGCCCATTCTCATAAGTTACATTGTGCAAGGTGGTATCAGTGACTTCAAGGCTTTGTAAGTTTAAGATAATCAGACCTAATACCTAAGCAAAACACTTGCCAGCAAGCAAGCATTCCGCAAATACTAATGTAATGAGATGTCTGCTGTTGTGTTCACTTGAAGATGAGATTAATATTATGACATTACTGAAATCTTTATTAAATGGTTCTCTAACCCAATTAATGCAGGAGTGAGAATGGAAAAAATGTCATTGCATTCTCACAACCACATTTACTGCTAATAAACTTTTGCAAATTACACTACAAAGATAGGACCCATGTAATACTTGTAGCATGTATGTAGTACTGGCTGTTAGCTGTTGGCTTTTGAATATACCATGCCTGTGTTGCCATATGCTCTGATGATTCTAGTTCCCTGTATTTTTTCACTCTTTCAATTACAATTACTATGAAACCTTTGCTGATATAGTAGTGTGCTAGGAGGCTATTTGGCTTGAAGGAGATCTTGACAACTAAAGAAGCGTTAGTGAAAGCCTACTGACAGTACTTGTTTAGATGGCGGTTACTCATAATCCAGAGTGCTTATCATTTATTTTAGATTATCTCTTAAATGAAAATGTTTTTTAAAAAGTTTGTACACAATTTTTAGACTCCCCTTCTTCTCCTGATGTATTTGTGACCTCCTATTTGGGAAATACTGCTTTAGCAAATATTTTTCTGATCACTATCTAGGAGTCCCAGATTCAAAGATGGGAAAGCAAAACAAATTAAAAAAAAAAAAAAGAAAGAAAGAAACTTGGCCCTTCTTAATGTAATAAGAGACACTTTAACAGCAATCTATAAATAGATTGATTTGTGCTATCCTAAAGTTATGCTAAGAGGGCTATGGGAACATAATGGAAAGGAGCTGCCCAGTTATCTTAAGGGTAGGAGAGAGGTTTACAGCACATCATGGAAAAGATCTCGTTTGAATAGTGTCTTAAAGGATGAGGAGGTGGGTTTAAACTAGGCAGAGATAGTGTGTGTAAAGAGCAAGGTTATGAAAGACATGATTATCATAAGGTGAGGCGTGTGTGGCCCTAGATAGCATTGGTAGTGTGACTGGTAAGTTGGAACCCAAAAGTAAAAGCTTTTTTTTAAAGATTTTTTTCTTGGGGATTGGGGAAGGGGAACACTGTGTTTTTCCAGGACCCATCAGCTCCAAGTCAAGTTGTTGTCCTTCAATCTTAGTTGTGGAGGGCGCAGCTCAGCTCCAAGCAAGTCCAGTCGCCAGCAACCCTGTTGTTCAGAGCTCTTGCTCTTACTAACTGAGCCACCCGGCCAGCCCCCAAAAGTAAAAGTTTTAATTGTTAGACTAAGTGTTTGTTCCTTCATGTGCTCTAAGGGAGTTGTGAAGATCCTAGGAGTTTTCATGGCAGTATTTTTAATATATGCTCGTATAGCAATTATCACATTGTATTGTGATGTTCTCCTTCATTAAGTCTTTGGACTTCTTCAAGGGCTATGACCATGTATGACCAAAGATACATTAATCTTTGTACTCTAAGCCTTTGATAGCGTAACTGATAAAAAAGCTAATGCTTAGAAAACATTGATTGAATGACTAATCATTCAATCCTGGAGAGGATCCAGGAGAGAATGATGACCATCTCCTGTATTGGTGGTTTTCATCTTTTATGGGTGACAAGCCCCTTTGTGGTTTTCTTGAAAGCTATCAACCTTCTTCTTGAAAATGCAAATACACACAACATTTGGCCTACAGTTTTATGGGATTCGTGTCCCCTTGTAACCAGTCCATGGATTCCTGGTTCAGAACCCCTCCTTAGGAAAGTACACCCAGGGAACCTATAATCACCACCAAACCTCACTATAACTACTGTCTCTTAACAGTCTTTAAATGTTAGATTATGATTGTATCTCTTTCTTATACTTTTCTTGTTTTTTCTTCATGATTGGGAGGAGTTAATTCAAATAACTATGACGAAAGCACAAATGTTTTTATAGTGATTAAGATAAAACATTCTGGTCTATGACGATAAATAGACAAGTGTGCTAATTAAGCCAGCAGCAACCAAGAAGCAGTTGTTTGAGGAGAGCAAGACGTTCCTGGGTTTGGGTTTAGCGAGTGAGTTGAGGTTCCCCAGGACCACCCAATTTCAGGCTCGATGATTTGCTAGAAGGACTCAAAGGACTATCCTAGTGGGTTGTGGTTTATTACAGTTGAAAGATACATATTAAAATCATGAAAAGAGCAAGGCACATGGGGGAGAAGTCTGGGAGAAACCAGGTGCAAGCGTCCAGGTATCCTCTCAGTGCAGGAGCACAGGTGCACTCCATAGCTCAGCAGCGATGTGTCAGCACTTGCAAAGTGTTGCCCACTAGAGAAGCTCATGGGAGCCTTGGTGTCCAGGGTTTTTGTTGGGGCTCTGTCACAAGCTTGCAGCATTCTTTTCAGGGAGAATATTTCAAGGGCTCAGAGCCCATCTTCTGGGAACTGGCCAAAGGCCAGTCTTGAAGGCAGGCCTTTCTTGGGAATGTGCAGGATTTGAGCAGCTCACACCTGCTGAGTTACCCCTTCCCTGCACAGCAAGTTGACCTATAGAGACTTCGTTTTCTTCTGGACTGCCTGTCTGCCTAGCCACTCTTTTTCTAGATACAGTAGCTTTTCTTGGTCTCATCATAGATGGTCTTTCCACATACCTGGAGTCTGCCTTTTCTTGCCAAAAGCAATTGGAAAGTTTGATTGGACTTAAGGAAATAAATGTGCTTTGCAGTTTCATGAGATCATAGTGTTATTCAGTCACTGAGTATTTTTTGATTGCTGCTATATACCAGACTTCGTGCTAAATGTGGATTTACAGAAATGATGAACGTGGTTGTCTGCCTTCAAAGCACTTAGAGTTTCATAGGGGAGAAAAAAACAAAAGTAGCCATTCTGGTAAGCCGTGTGTGCTTTGGGGAGCAGTTAACCGTGGAGGGCTAGTTTTGTGAGTGCATGGATAGGTGTGGGTGATAATTAGGGAATGACTTCCCTAAAGGATTCATTCTGTGAGTTGACCCATAAAGATCAAATAGATACAAGTGAGCATGGAGCTGGTGTTTCTCCAGTCATTTCTGTAGCCAGCTTGCCTGTGTGGTTGGAGCGTATATGTAATGTTACTGGTACAGTCTCCTTTGCTTATTGAGAAAGCACCCTAATCCTAGCTAGAAGATAAATGTCTTTCTCAGGGTTTGTACAAGAGAAAAAAGTGGCTCAGTACAAATCTATTTCCATTACTCCATTACCATAAATCCACCCTAATGACATTTCCAACCTACAGTGGAAGGCAGTAGTATTTTCACACATTGCTCCCCACTGGGGGAGTATTGAATGCATAGTTTGGGCTAAGAAGAGTAAGTATAACCATTAAAAATTTAAATGTGCTTTGTTTCAAGTGGGAGGGCAAATGCTTGCCTTACCTGGGTGAAATTACACAGTACAATTCTATACTTGGAAGCAAAAAAGTTGTAGAAAAAACCTGAGTTCAAATTTCAGCATATTTGGCTCCTACATACCTATATGTGTACTTCTCAGTAGGATTTGTAACTTCTAAGAGGAACAAAGAGTTCTGTTTTTTTAATAGAAATAATTATAATATTTCAGGAATGTATTCTTATAGTGAATATGTATGGGATAATATCAAATTGTTAACTTTGAGAATTTTTTCTAATAAAATCTTATTTTCTTTTTCCAGCATTACAGTGTTTCTGCCACCTTTGCACAAAAGACAATTTTACTTGTGTCACAGATGGGCTGTGCTTTGTGTCTGTCACAGAGACTACAGACAAAATTATACATAATAGCATGTGTATAGCTGAAATTGACCTAATTCCTCGGGACAGACCATTTGTATGCGCACCGTCTTCAAAAACTGGGTCTGTCACTACAACATATTGCTGCAATCAGGACCACTGCAACAAGATAGATCTCCCAACGGTTGGTGAGTTGTTGCATGAGACATTTTTTTCTTGATAATACAAGAAAAGCTCTTAGACTATGATTTTAGAACTGGAAGGGATCTTAGAAATCGTCTACCACAGATTGTTCAGTTTAGAGGCAAGAAAGAACTTGTCCACAGTTGTAGAACTGTAAGAGCAGCCGAGATCCTGACTCATGGGTGTGTGTTGTTTGAGAATGTGATTACATGATAGACTTTCTCTGAGGTCTGCCATGCCTGAAAGAGTAGCCTCTTGAAAGTGAATTCTGGCAAAGCCTACTGCAGCAGTATGTCCTCCGGTGTCACTACATTATCCTCAGAGTAAATGTCTTCTTCCTTGTATAATGTGCAGTCAATAATGGGTGGGACTCAAGAGCACCACTAAAACAGTCCATGTGCCTTTATTTTGTAATTTCACCCTACCTTATGATCTTTATGTTTAAGTTATTATATACATGGTTTCTAGGTTTTTAATCCTTCACTGTAGTTTACATTTTAGAGTGTCCTGACAGAGCCAGGGATTTCAAGGATAAACTCTTAGGATTAGATTAATTTTCAGGCTCTGGTTTAAGGTGTCAGAGCACATGTATTTAACTTTATCACTTTCCTCAAGTTCCAAATTTCTACTATAATAATCAAAGGAATACAAAAATGGGGGAACCTGTATTAATGCTTAGAGAATTAATGGAAGATTGCCACCCACATGCCTATACTTGTGAGGCGCTTCTGCAGTTTTTGTGCAGATGAGTGAAGAATTGACTAACCATACGAAAAGAAAGTGAAAGGACCTCTTACAAAACCCCAATACCTTACTCGGAGGAGCTGGGGTTAGGCCACAGGTGCAAAGTCAGTTCTCTGTTAGGAAGCACGTGGTTTCAGTACTCACTGGCAGACCACAGTGCTCACTTTCCACTCGGAGTTGGTCCGGGCACCATGCTAGTTAAAGTAGGAAGCACTGCGGTAGCTAAGAGGAAAGGGCCATTCCTACCAGTTACAGAGGGAGGCCGGCCTCCACCTAGTGCAAATGATAACAGCAAAGCAGAGCTGGGTCTGCAGCATGATAGGGAAGCTCCCTTTGGCCAGGCTCTGTCACTGAATTTTTCTGATTTTTATGTAGGCATCTGAAATTCTAAAGGACAAAATGATAATTCTAGAATTTTCCATTTCCATTGTTTGGGTTTGAAATATCTGAGTGGAAACTCACAAAACCTTGTGAAGGACACTTCATTTTTAATGCTAAACATACATAAATCCCTTATTCCCAGGTCCGTGATACGCAAACAGCAAAAAAAGTGACCAAATAAAAAGATTTAGTGGTTCAAAAGAAGTAAACTGAACTGGATAAATCAAAGTAGATGTCATCCTTTGAAACAAATTTAGCACATGATAGGGAAGAACGTTCAGACAGTACAAGCTCTATTTTCAGTTGTTCACTATGAAATGAGAACATATCACAGTTGTTAAAGATTGCTTTCAGATGAAAAGCTTAATTGATGAATTATTTTTTAAAATGCAATACTGAAAGTGAACAGCAGACTGGATACTGTAATTTTATAATCAAGTGTGAGACAAGCTTAAGGCAAGACAAGCTTGTTACACTTCAGAGAAAAAGACAGTTGGTGAGCAAATTAAGAGATATGGAGGACAAATCTATTATAGGTGATCCAATATACTTAGTATAAAAATTTCAGAAAAAAACCATAAAAGCTGACAGAAGAGAGAATACTGTGCAAAATTAATGAAAAAATACTTATGCAAATACATATAATGAAAAAGATACCAATTTCAAGAATAAAGGAAAACAATTGTGTATGCATTCAGCACAAGTGAACACTGGTTCATTATAAAAGGGGGAAAAGTTCAAATTTTCTGCTTTTTTTAAATACCGGAAGGCAAAGGAACATCTAAAATCCCTTAGATAAGACAAGATTTTTCACATATTATATAAAGGCAACAAGCATTTTAGATGATTAAGTATTCAGTGTATAAAGACACATGTACTCTTCCTGAAAGAAATTGCTAGAATTAAGATGCTGTATAAGAAATCAATCCAAATAAAGATCTCAAGAACGAGGAAGGTGTGATTTGAAAGAAATGGTGGTGAGCAGTGAACCAGCAAGGCTCAGGATGAATGCCAAAATAATTTTAATTAATGTGTTTCTGAAACAGTGTAAAACATTAGTTACTTAAAAGAGATTATAAGAAAATAAATGCTCTTGAATGAAAAGTCCAAATAGTTAAAATAGACTAGAAAGTATACACATGTACACCATATTTTAAAAAACAACAAAGGATATATTTTACCTGAACAAAATTGGTGGAGATATATAGTATATACACATACACTAAAATGTGAGTTGTTTGCGGGAGGTGAGGCTGTATATAATTTTTTTTCGCAGTTTTGCTCATCTGTATTTACGGCATCCTCCCACCCCAACCCCTGGCCCCACTCCGAGCATATACTGACCTTGAAATAAGAACACAAGCCAAAACTACTAAAAAAAAAAGACTTA